AGCCCCGCTTGCGGCCTCTCTTGGGCCTCCTGTCGCCGCTGGGTCCTTGTCCCCCCGCCGGCTCCCACTGCAGCCACTCAGGGCTGGGACAGGCCCTGCTTCGCCCTGGGGTCCCCCGGGGCTGTGCTGCAGTGCTGCTCTTGTTATAATCAAGTTTGGATTTTGAATAGATCATTACTTTTCATTGATAACTAATTGCTTTTAATGAACGACTTAATTGCTTTAAGGAATAACTAACGCTTTGTATTAATGCAATCCGTTTACATTGTAGTAAGAAATATCCAAAACCTCACTTACGCTAAGAAACAACAGCTGCAGGCCTTACAAAGAAGGTCAAAGCTAAAGCTGCTGCTAATTGTGAAATTGTCCAGAACACAGAACAGGGAGACAGGTATAGGGAGTGAAAGTGCACATTCTTGGCATATCATCTTATGTGATGAAACCAGAGAAACTAAGAAATGTTAAGGTGAAGACCCTCACATCCTCCCCATTCTAATTTGTACATCAGAGATCTTGATCAGTAGGATAACCAGTGATTATATTAGTGTAGGAATACTAATAAAGTTAGTTAATAGGGTGGACCAATCATTGTAAATGTCAAAATTAATAGCGGGCATAACATGCACGCTTATGTTAAAATATGTTAAAGACCATGACTTTGCAGAAAAAGGGTATAAAATGCTGAATTTTTTTGTGTAACTTTGAAGCACGTCAGGTGGAGCTCTCCCAGCAGCCAGTGCTGCAATAAAGAAGTGCCTCTGCTTATCTGCAACTGTGTAGATAAGTTTGTCGTGATGGTGACCTTTCGTCAGCACTCTGAGCACCCCTCTCTAGCAGCGCCCCGCTCCAGCCCAGGCGTGGAGCCTCCTCAGAAAGGGGGGCTCAGCGGGCCCCGCACAGCCTTCGGGCACCGGCCGCGCCGATCCTGGCAGCACAGCCCTGAGAGGGGGCACCGGTGAAGGGCAGGTGCTGGTGCCCACCCAGCACCCTGCTCCGAGCCCGCGGGGCAGAGCCTGGCCTCGCAGAGGGCACCCGGACTCACCCTGGATGTGTTTGGAGAGCGCAGGGAGCTGGGCACGTACGCGGTTTGCCCCAAGACTCCTAATTTAACCCCGGCTCTGTGGATGTACAGCGGTGCTGTGGTGATATAGATCACAAATTTGTGTTACTGTGCTATCAGGTGTTGCCCACTGTCTTCTAATCGGCAGGTATACTTTTATTTAACTTTTGATTTCCCAGTGTTGTTGCCATCGGTTCAGCTTCCCTTGGTTACTTGCCAAATTAAACACGTCCTAGTGCATGTTTCCTTAGGGAAAAGAGACTTAAATCCCTGATCTCAGAAACATAACCGTGCCATCTAGTCATCCATGTTTAAACTTCTCTTGTTTACAAGGTGAACTAAGGATTCCAGTGCTGACAGAACAGTCAGGACTTCTGAGGTTCCAGGAAATACCTGGATACTGTTCAGATGGTCAGAGAGCATCCAGGGGGCTGTAGAGAAATGGACAACAGTCAAGTTCAAAGAAAAGAAGCAGTAGTTATGAAAACGAGCGTTCTTTGAATGCCTTGCCTACAGAGTGCTGGTTTTCATTGTCTACATTCTGTACTATTCTTAACTTTAGATTTATTATTGAAAAGCAACTCTCCTAAACAGTTCAGTAGAGTAATACCTGTTCTTTGAATTCATAAACTTGAACACCTAAGAGTGTTTTAAGAATTTGCCAAATGTATTTTATTGAGACAGTTTACGGTATTGCTAGCAATTACCTTTTGTATTATTACAGTATTTCACAGTATCTAAAGACAGACAGAACAATTTCAAAGTCAGCTATGTTGGCACATCAGGAAAGTGTATTACTGGACCCTGGGACATGCTGAATACTTGTAAACTTCTCGCTGCTCTGTCAAAATGGTTTTGATAATTTTTTTTTCCCCAATAAGCTGAAACAAGTAGATAAGCATACCTGGTTTGTATCTTTTTTTTTTTTTTTTTTTTTCCCTCTGCAGAGCTGAGTATATTTTCATAACTTCAAAATTCCTATTAACTCAAGTTGCTTTTTGGTTTCACAGGGAACACACCATTGGATTTTAGTGTGCCCTTGGTTTTGTTATTGTGTTCCAAATAGATTTGCTAAGTAGCAGAAAAGATGGCTTTTAAAAATGACTTAAAAAAAAAAAAAAAGCACGTGAATTTGGCTATAGACTTTTGACCATTGTCAAAAGTAAGGCGAGGTGAAAAAGGAAAGTGTTGTGGAACATGCTGTAACGTGTGAAGTTCCAATTCTCATTCTAATTTAAATCTCTCCTCCAGTTGCCAAGCTGTGTGTGTGTGATCTGCTGGTGGCACAGTGCGATGTGAATTGCTGCTGTGACCCCGATTGCAGCGCGGACGATTTCAGCCTCTTTACTACGTGTTCAGTTCCTGTTGTCACGTAAGTGGATCAATAGCTCTGTGAAATACAAGACCCTGTTTTATTTGCTGCAGGCGTTTGTAAGGGCTCTGTCCTTGCCTCTTACTAGTTCCTAACCCACCCCAACTCCTGCCATCCCAGCTCCTGCCTACCCTTTCACCAGTCCTTCCTGCACTAGGCCAGTAAACTTTTGGCCCCAACCAGGCAGAACAGCAAATTGCCCCCTTCCCCGTTTCTCTTTCACTTATTCCCTCTCCAAAACCCACGCTCCTTGCTTTCCTCCTCTTTCACTGTGCTCCTGTCTGTGGGCACTTAGGTGGTGGTGCCTTGTGTTGGGGGGAGAATAACGTGTCTTTAGGCTTTCATCAGTATAATGCAGTGTCTGGAAGTTAAGAACACCGATACCATGGGACCATCTGGCCACCTCTGTGGGTCATCAGCAGGTTATCAGTAACCTCTTTCCTTACGGTTTATGATACCAGCTAGAAACTTGATCAACTCAGGGCTTAACAAAGTCATGTGAGCATTGTTCTGATCCTAGTTGGACAAGCCAGCGTCCCAACCTGCTGCCCCTCTGCCAGTCTGTCACACTACAAACAGTGAACTGTGACCTATCAATACAGTAACGCCGATAGCTGTTTCTTTGCTGTTTACTGTTTGTCTGAAAACACCTTCACCCAATTCCATCTTCTCGAAAAGGAGTTAAAAAAGCTCACTTCAAAATTGTAATGTAAAACGTCTCTTGGTGACCTCGCAGAACAATAAGTGCAGCTCTTCAGCCCACCTTCTGTATAAATTATGCCAGTCTGAACACTGGGGTTTATTCTTGGTGCTTGGAAATTTGCATTAGCAGTCATGCCAGACTGGTTTCTTACTGTTCTTGCACACAATGACTACTGCTACCCATTTATAGATATTTATATATATCAGAGAGGTCTAATCAACGCCTTCCTGAGTGACAGTTTAATTGTCTCAGGTGATTGTTCTGGCTTTGTCAGCTAGAAATGCATAAAATGAAGTTGTGTTTCTTTTCCCAAATTCTTTTATGTAAAATGAACATTTTGCATGAAAATCCATGGGATTTTCAATGACTCCAAGTATTGTGGATCTCATTATTTACATCTAGATTTGTATACATTTGCATAACGGTGTTAGTTACTGAAAGGGTTTGACTGATCACAAGTAAGAGGCGATGTGGCCTCTGAAACAGCAGAAAAAGGGCGTTTGATTTCTGATGTGCTCCTGCTAACAAATGGTTCACCTCATGGAAAAGTTTAACTCCCTGCTTAAAAAGTCATTTCTAAAAGTCATTTCACTTCTTCACTCTCTGCCCTTGACTGCTCTAACCCTGCCTAAGTACCGGTTTCACAGGGATCATCACTTGTATTTCTGGCATGTGGGACACACCAGAGCTGTTCCGAGTAGGAGCTGGCACGTTCGCTGTGCAGCCTACTGCAGTTCTGGGCTGTTGTTGATGGACCCATGGCACATCTACAAACACTTCTCCCAAACTGGGTGGCTTTTTCCACTTCCCTGTTTCTCACTCTTGACATTTCCTTTACATGCATCTCAAGTAGGACTTCCCCCCCCGCCAGCACACAATATTATTCTAATATTCACAAAACTGACCTTTTTTCTGGCCTACATGCCATCAGGTTACCCTAAAGGTCATATTTCCCACTTGTGTTGTATAAATAAAAGTGCTTCCGAGCCGCTTACAGCCTGTCGTGCACCCTGTGTTTGTGGTGTCTCACACCATCTGGATCCCAGCCAGCTTGTCATTTTAGCTCTGATATTTACTGTCAGGATCTTCCCTTCCCCCCGGTCTGTCTCTGACCTTTCTTCATGTTGCTGCTCACGGTTTCCTCTGCTAGAGAAAACATGCTGGAGAATTATTTTATTTATTACTAAGCATGCCCTACAAAACACAATGAACCTGCTGAGGAGGCACAACTGCTATACAAATTGTGTTAAAACAAGTAATCTCGAGTGCTTTTTTTGATGCTGCCTCAATACATGAAAAGAACTTTAAATGCTAACTTCTAGTGGGTTATTGATTTTATTATTATTGTTTGCAGAGGTGACAGCAATCTTTGTAGTCAGAAAGCTGCTGTGTATTCACTTGATGTTGAAGCAAATCCACCAGAACGGATATTTAAATTAATTGACCAAGTCAATCCCAGTGTTTTCTGCATTCATGCTACAAACTGTAAGTAGCATTGTTGCCAATACTAAGCATCGTGCTGTTACCTTTGTAAGCTCTTTAGGTACCAGAAACAAACTAAAATTAAAAGTAACTAAACCTCTCAGAGAACTGGTTATTCTCTGTGCTCACAGTCCTTATGTTGTGATGCTTTCACCTGTGAAACAATGGAGTTAAAACAGCTCATGCTCTCTTAGTCTTCCCTGTTGGAAAAAAAAAAAATTGTTGTTTGGTTGGTTTTGGTTTTTTTTTTTGTAAATAATTTACCATCCTAAATAAATCACATTTAAACTTGTCTCATGGGAAACTGTCTCCTTCCTGAGCTGTTACTGTAAGTGTGTAATAGGCCCCAGTGGTACAAGTCCTTTATGGCCAGCTTTGACGGGATTCGTAGGGAGGTAACAAGTGATCAATACTGTGTTCTCGTAATTTAATTCTGACTCTGCAGTAGTCATCCGAATACTTAGCATGGAAACTCTAGACATTAATTGACATGTCTCTGTTTTGGAACACCAGATGCTGTTAGAAACCATGATTTTGAAAGAAAAGGACTTGCCTGTTCCCTTAAGTTTGTGCTTTCATGGATCTCGGTGAAATGGTGGATTAAGATACTACCTATCTTGAAAGGGAAAGCTTAAAGAAAAGCTGTGTGGATGCTTTTCTGTAACTGAGTCTTTAACAACTGTAGAAAGACAAATTGTTACTAAATACTGTTTCTGTATCTTTTAGCCTAAAAGTTATCTCATTCTTTAAATGTTTTGACAGATAAACAAGCACTTTCCTTCAGTTCCCCTGAAATGCCTACTCCTGAAAATTTTGATCGGTTGCTTAAACAGTTTGGAAGTGCTTCTTTCAGTGCTGAGCCTGACAGCTGGAATACGAACACAGATGCTCAAAGTCCTTCTGATGCGAATGAAACTTACAGATACGAGGTAAATAATTTTCTGATTTGATTAGTATTAGATTGTTCCATAAAAGGACAAGTAAGCATTGTTTGCATCTGCTTTTGAAAAAAAGCAGTTCTGGAAAAGACAAACATTGTTTTGGTCTTTAAATATAAAAATGTAAAAATAAGAAATTTAGTATTTTGTGTTAGCTTACTTAAAAAGTGAACCAGATTTTTTTAAGATCTTTGAAAAATAAGTAGCAGTTTTGCTATTGTAAACATAAAGCTGTTAGCAGTGGCTGAAGAATTAATGCACAAAGTAGCATACAGTGTTGACGTACATGATGGAAATAAGTACTTCTTTTATTCAGATTTATTGCTAATACAAATGCTCTGAACCTTTCCATGGACTGAAACACGCCTTTATACTTGAATATGTTGTTTTATTTGGCAGTATGGCGTTCCTATACAGACAGCAGATGCATTTCTAAGACTACCCAGTCCTGTTGTCTCCTCTTGGTGCTCTGATGCAAATCCTGCAGGTTAGAAAATGTGTTTGAATTCCAGTTTGTTTGCTTTAGAGTATTCTGCTCTGACTTGAGCTTAATCAGTCACTAAATTGGCACACACGCAAATGTAAATTCAGATAAGGATTCAAGAACAAATGTTTTTCAAATAGCTTCTGTTTCTCTGGGGTTTTTTTAGACATAGATTGGAAGTTGCATTGCATCTGTATTAAACATTCAGTGCAAATCCTTGAGAGTCTTGTTAATGTGTTGTTTATCCAGCAATAAGACATCCTATTTGGCATAATTGATTTAATAAAATAGTACAAGGGTGACACCACGAGGGAAGAGGCTATTACACAAAGCAAGACCTAACTGGGCAGCCTTTGTAAGGTGTGCCTCTGGTATAATGAGGTTCCTTTCACAGCCTGAATGCAAGTCAGACTTGCAGGCTTGAGCCCTACATTTTAACCTTTCACACAGTTTCCTGAAAATCTGCAGAAGGAGAAAAAAAAAACAAACAACAAAACACACAACCACAACCAAACTACACACCTGTGTTTTCCAAAACTCACTGTTATTATTAAACATGGTATAATAACAGTCATGATGATGTCTCTAGGAAAACTAAAGTCTCCTGTGAAAGAAAAAAGCCCCCAAATCCAAACTTATGAGATCTCAAAAATGAAGTCATAAATCTTCTAGCTTTTATTAAGCTTCTGTTGTTAAGAAGTAATATTTTGTCTCAGCATTTCTGGAGAATCTAAGAAAGTATCATTCTTTAAAGCTCACATAAAACCTTATCTGCAACAGAAATTACGTTTACTTTTGCTTGTACTTGAGGTTCTTACATTGTTTTTTATTTCTGCTTTTCATAATTACTCTTTAATTTCATTCAGTAATACTTTGTGACTTTTTTTCCAGGATTTTTAGTAAACCAGGCTACAAAATGCACTAGATCAGTAAGTGTGGAAAAATGTGGCAACATTCAAGCAATTAGTATGCTCTTCTATATCAACTCCAGCATTTTAGCCGTAAGTATGATTTGACACAGTCATAGAGCTGGTGGTTGATAGTGCATATCTCTTTGCATCTCCAGAATTAAGTAACTTCTATTTACTAAAGGATACGCTCGGTTTTATTTGGATTTTTAAATCATGTGCTGGGGAGAAAAAAAAAAGATCTTCTTGTGCCACACTTTTATACAGAAAGCCTTTGGAAATGCTTTTACTTCAAGCTTCAGTAACAGAAGCATTTGCTGTTCTCTGCTTAGCCAAAAAAAATAACGGTCTCAAAGAGAGAAGCTTGCGTCACTGAGCTAGTGCTTACTGCAGTGGCAGTAGTTTTATGCTTTTGTGGATGTTCAAGCTTTTCCAAGAAGCCTGTTATCAGAGTGCATAATTCTAAAAATACTGAGTTTTAAAGAGCTGCTAAACCTTTGTACTTACAGAAAAACCTGTAAAGTTTATTCCTCTGCATAGATACCTTTCCTACAAGCCTCGGTTCTTAACAGTGAGGTACTGCACACGCGTGCTAAGCCTTCCTTGTACTCCTCAAAGAACATGACCTTTACCCCACTGAGAGCAAATTCGTTTCTATCCAGCCTACTACCAAATCCAGTCTGTGGTTATTTTTCAAAGCTAAGCTTACTTTTTCATTCCTTTTTGAACTGCAGGATGATGTCTTATGTATAAATAACTCCCCTTTACAGATATTCAGGAAGACAAAGAAATCATGCATGCAAAATTGAAAGTGAAATACATAATACCTGATAGCTCCTTCCAGAAGCCAAAGGTCATCGCAAAACAGTGTGCTCTCCACCATTAAATTCTTTTTAATTTTTGTAATTATTTAGATTAATTTAATTAGTACTCTCCAGTGAGTGACCGCTTAAAGGCCCCTTCCAGTCTCCTCACAGGCTCCAAAGCTATCAACAGGAAAGGAAAGCCCACTGAGTAGTTCACGTTCTCACAGGTGGGATCGTTCTCCTGGTCCTTGAGGACCTCCTTGAAATCAGCAAAGGGTTGCTCACCTATGTTAGCTTTTGAGCATCCCACTGTGGAAGAGGTGGAGAAAACTCTGCCTCAGAAGGTCTTTGAGTGTTTCCACATGCACCCAAAGTTAGAGTTCTTGGGGGCTGCAGAACCAGAAAAGAAAAAGCACCCCTCAGAACAGGCTCCTGGCAGCTGAATGTTTTTGAATTAAAAGATGAATTCCCCTTCCTCACTACAGCAGTACGTAACACGTTACCCACGTGCCGCTTGCCAAGCACAACGGCCCAGCTCTGGAGAGGTCAGATTTCGGTCCAAAGTACATTGGGCATTCAGGGAAGATCAGATGCAAGAGCTGGAGAAGGCTGAAGAGGTGCTAGAGGTGGTCTGTAGGAAGCTCCCCTTCCCGAAGGGAGCTGAAGGTGGGATGTGGCAATAGAAAAGCGATGGGTATTGGGGGCAGAGTGGTCACAGGGCAGAGCAGGGAGCACTTCCAGTGCCAGCAGGTGGAGCTGCCAGCAAAAGAAATGGGAAAATACATCAACCCAGGGAGGCTGACTGGGAGCCCCCGGTGAGAGCGCTGGTACAGCGGTTCCTTCACAAAACCCTGCCTTCATGAGCCCATCCTCACCGCCGGGCTGGGCACCTTGAGTGATACGAAGGTCTTGGCAACCGTTGCGTTTAACCTCTGCTCTCTACCCTGGCCTGTCCAGCAGACCCGAGGGGCATTGGGGAGGTTTGGAACCCTCTGCCAAGATACTCATAACGTGATGCTTCACGCCATGGGTAGTGTGTAGCTGCTGAAGCCCCTCCTTGCCTCCCTGGCTGGTGGGAAGAGGAGTCGGTGGGAGGCAGCAGTGAGGCTGGAGTGCTGTCTGCCCCTGACCTACAGAAACATAATCCATCACCCCAGTCACAGATAAATAGAACTTTAGGAGCGGTGATCATTCCCTCTACCCTAGTCAGAAGCAGCATGCTTCCTTGAAGGATGAGTCTAATCTTTACAAGCACTTTAATTCATGCAGCTCATTCTGATGGCTGAGCGGTACCTCAAGGTGTTGATATCGATATGTGACAACGTGTGACAGACTTTACCTGCATCACCTTCAGGTCTCCAGCTCATCAAAATGTGTTCTCTGCTGCGATGTTAGGCGAGCAGACCGGTCTTTGTGTCCTGTCATAATTCTGCAGAACTTGCTTCATGGTCAGACTCGCAATTTTTGGTCCCTTCCCAAAGATGTGAATCAAACACACATTGGGAAGTCACAAAAATAAAACTTGTGACAAAATGGTGCTCTATAGGAGTATTTTGCAGGCCTGATTGATGACATTTCTGCCTTGCCATGGAAATTTTCCAGTGGGGCAACTGCACATGTCCATGTGCTGTGTAACAACAAGAGGGATACTTGCTTCTCGTTTCTTTGGTTAGAGACCGTGAAACTATGGACTTGTTAACGTCAGAACAGGACAACAAAAGCTCCCCATTTCTTTGGGTACGAACAGCCTGGCAAACTTCCTAAATTGGCAGTCCGTGATTAATTACAAGCGGTTTTGCACAGATCTGCAGTAGGAACGATGTTCTCTGACGCCCTCAGTAGGCCAAACGATACGATGCACAGTGACAGTTGTGCCAAACTGAGATGCCTTTCTCGGGTCGCCTTTCTGATGCAAGGAAACGTTCAGTGGTTCTTAGTTCTGACTTGCAATAGGGTGCCCAAGGGAAACACTAGATTCATCTACTACTTATTGAGTGCACTGTGTAGTTATCATTGGGAGTGTTCTCAAAGCTAGACCTGATGGAAAAATTGGTGGAAGTCACTAAAATTTTCCAGTTACTGTCAGGGGAAGAAGAGGATTTGACAATAAGATTTTGCCTACTAGCCACAAAGAACAGCAGCTATTTTCACGCTACCTGGGTACAGCAGTGTCTATCCAATCACTTCCAAAATGTAAAAGTTGCTGTAACCATACAGAGTTAAATAGGCAAAGCTGTTGAGCCTTAAAGTGCTTTACTTAACTGCTACTTGTAATAGGTCCTACCCTTGCTGTTGTTTGAATTTGTTCTTTTATTCTTTTTTAGGTGCCAGAATCAAGTCAGATGGTAAGTATCCTTCTAGCTTAGTTGGTACGGCTGGGGGCAAAATTCTGACTCAGTTACAGTCAGTGGGAGTTTTTCACTGATTTCGTCAGAACAGGGACTTTATCCTTAATCTTTAAATCTAAACATTTCTATAATTTTCTATTGGTAATGATCCTTAGCAACTCCAAGATAATATGCTACCTGCAAACATTTAAGCCTGATGCATTCCCCTCATCTAAAACTCTCTCTTTTTAAGTACCTCTCTCTAGTTACTTAAAAATAGAACCTTTTGTGGAAATTCAACAACACATGTAACATGGTAGTTGTTCAGAGCATTATTGACTGCTGTCTCTGTTATTGTATACAGAAAAAGCCAAAAATAATTATACACAATATTCAGAAATGACATGATTTTTTTTTTTTCAGGTTAATATTACTGTCCAGTCCGTAGTTGTGCAGTCTCTGAATGGAATGCGGACTTTGCTTAATGGTAGTGATGTCCTGAGGCTGCCTGTGATTTTGGATGAACTGTGCATAAATGTGGTTCTTGGGGTAGGTATGGCAGTTGTTTTCCTCCTCACGTTTGACAGAAAGCATGGATGCATCCATTCACTTCTGATTCACAAATTGCAAAGATGTGAGAAGGGCCTTGCACAGTTTCCATAGATTGTGACATCTCCAAAGCAAATGTGACAGGAGAAACGCTGACTTTGGGATAGAAGAGAATGTTTTGCAACAAGATAATAACTATATGCAACAGAACACGGAGACAGGACGAAATCCTTTTCTATTATTACTGTGTGTATACGACATAGCAGACAGTAACATCAGTTTAGAATCTATGTTATGCTTGGAAGAAGATGACTTCAGGCCCAGTGGTGGCAGAGGAACACACAGTGCAAATCATCTCATCTTTTCAACTTAAATAGAGGAACACTGGGCTTATGCTTAGAGATGCTTATCAAGAAGTCAGTTTTGAAGAGACTCCAGCCTCTAGAGGATATAATCGATCTCTACCATGCATTTGAGTGTTTCTTAAGCGAGAAAGAAAGAAAACAACACTGACATAGTTTAAAATTCCTTTTTTCTAGTTCATACTCTTATGTATTTGTTCTAATTAATATCTAAAACGTTTAATTTTCAGGTGAGTTATCACATTACATACACAGACGCAGGAGAAATAATAGAAGCAGCTGCTTCTTTTGTCTTGGGGGCAATTAACAAAGAAGCACTTTCCATACAGCAGAGCTTTGAAATCAGCTTTACTCAGGTAACTGCTGGAGATGTTACGGACGGCTTGTTGAAAGACATTTAATTACAAAACTTATTAAACTTGAATCAGAACAAATGTGAGCAGCAAGGTAAAATGTAACTTGCCCTGGATACACAAATGAGGCAGCATTTCAGAATTGGGCAATAAAGTCCTCCAAAGTCTGTTTTTCACATTGAGAAGAGTCATCTTGTGACTCTAACTGTATCCAGTGAAAGCAAAGCCTGCCCCAGTGTGAGAGAACTGTTACAGTCTCACAGAGCAGTCTTACTACTGCCATTGTTCAAGGCAGTTAATCATCCTAAAATAAGTGAAATATTTCTGTGTTTTCCAACCATTTCAGTGCAGGATAAGAACTAAAGACTGTACGTTTGCATTGCAGGTCAATACAACACCAGTTCCTCTCAGTGGTAATCCTGGTTATGTTGTTGGACTGCCTATAAGAGCGGGCTTCCGGCCACAAGGATATCCTTGCCCTGTTGAAATTTTGTTGGCAGCACTTGTTCTGGTCCATCTTCAAAACACTTACGAGCACGGACATCTATAAAATATATCTGTTCTTTACCAAAAGTAAAAGTGTGCTTTTTTAGCTCTGTTTTAGAAGTAGCAAATGACTCAGTCCTGACTGCAATCTCCTGGGACTTCTTAATGAGGTAGATTTAGACCTTCATTGTGCACTCTAGTGCTTCTTCACAGTGTCAGAGGAGTCTTGAGCTATTATAGCATTTTCAGATATATTTTAAGGATATGATTAAGGACTGTTTCTTCATGATACACAAGTATTGAATTTCCCTTTAACTGTGTGTTACATCTGGCATTATCCAGAACACTAACAAATACAGTCAACTTACCATTCTGCAAAGTACATCCAGTCAGGACTGTCTGGCAGCACAGGGAGCCAGAACCCCGATATTATTTGGCTATAACATGATATCGGGTTGTAAGTTACGGTAAGAGGACATTTCTTTTTTTTTTTTTTTTTTTTTTTTTTCTATTTAGTGCTGTTTATGCTCTGACAACTCTTTTCATTAGGATCCGTTCAGGTCCTGGGACATTTATACTGCTGTAGGAGTATTTAATTATATATAAAAAAAGAGTCATTTAATTAACAGCGATCTTTCTCTTGAAAAGATTGTGTACATTAGCAACCGTAGCCAGAAGGCTTAAACAGTGCATGAGAGCAATGAGAAATTATTACTGTGCCAAACCAATGGATTTTGCTTTAATTATTTTTTTTTTTCTTCTGTGAGAATTACTGCAGCTATGAAATGCCAGCCTTTGGCTCAGACCCTCCTAGACTTACTGAAGGGACAAAGCTTTCCTGAATACGTGGCCTCATTTGGAAATTCTCAAGCCCAGGATGTACTCGACTGGGTGCCGATAACTCACCTCCACACCTCAGAACAGGTGAAAGTTACACCACTACCACACCCCCCCCCCC